TTGACAATTTTACAGACAGATTAGATTTAACTACTTAATGTTCAACCAAGGAGTAGGTCGTCCAATGAATTTATAGATGAATAGAGGTCGGGATTTCTCGTATATTGAAATATGAAGTCGGGGTAAATGAGTTACAAGTAGAGCGTGAGAATAGTAGCAGGTCGGACAGATCCCGACCCACTATAGAAAAAGAGGTCGTAAAACGGTTTGTACTTTCCAGCAACAGTAGTTATCCGGAAGTCCTTCTCTGATCCGGAGAATAAAGTGTATGTTTTGCCCTTTATCCTCTGGTCCCAAGAATATTCAGATGTCCTTGAAAAGTGATGTGAAGACTTCAATTTATAGCAAAATACTAGGGAGTAACCTCAGTTTGGATTTAATCATATCCTGAGTTGGACTCCTTTAATGCTGAATGGCCGAGCTGATCGTCAGTGGGCCTAGGGCCTATCTCCAACAGTAGCCCCCCTCGAGTCGGCGAATCGAGGTGGGCCGAGTTCGCTGCTAAATATGGTTGGCCCAACTTAGGTCAATAAAGTGTGATGATGTGTCGTCTCGTAAATGGCCCCTCACGGACGGTGTTAGGGTTCCCAAAGCGCGACTCTTCGTCTTTCCACTCTCCTTCTATAAAACCTGAGCTTTCGTTTTCATTTCTCTTATCTTTGCTGAAGAGAAATCAGGTACTTCTTTTCTCTAGGTTCTCTCTGTAGCTTTGTTTCCGCCTATCTTGTTCCGTTTTTTTTTTATAAATTTCGATATCTCCACCCCGACCTACTATGTCTGCGATACGAATTTCGTCTGTTTCCTCAAAACGCCGCTCTTCGGTCGTCAGCTCTTCGACGAGCTCATTTACTCAAGATATGGAGCGTCATCTTTTAGAGGTCGGCCTATCTAGGCTCGATCTTACAGATGACGCGACCTCTTCCGCGCCCCATGGTGAGATGAACAATGAGGTCGGCGGACCCTCCACCGTGCCGCAGAAACGCGAGGAGGCTTCGGGACAGTCAGATCTGGATGGCTCTGGAGACGTCGACGACTCTGAAGACCTCTGCTCTGTGAAAGATGAGGTCGGCTCGTTCGCTCCTCTAGTGAATGATGAAGGCGCTGACTCTCCCAGGCAAGGTCTGGGTCGCTACATCGAGCTAGAGCCTAAAGATAGCGCGGCCTCAGCGGCTACTGCCCTATCTCTGGAGAAGATGCGACGAGAGAGCGGCCTTTCGGCCGACATAGAGTTTGTTGTCCAGGCTACCGACCAATGCCCGTGGGCTCCTCCGCCTCGCATTCTGATCCAGTATTGTCTCGGCGGTTAATTGCGATCTCCCAACTCACCCACGCGGGGATTCGGAACGTAACTTCTAACTTGACGCTTGCTGCCGAGATAGGGAGATCGGTTACTTGTGATCAGTTGGAAGAGATAATCCAACTGAAACGGGTTAGGTCGACGGGTCGATTCTATATTTCCATGCGCCATAAGCACAATCTTATGGTCAGGATCCACTGCAAGGCCAACCATTGGGAAAGGAAACATTTTTTTGTTAAGATTGACGAGAAAACGGTCCCGAACCCTGACTGGCCGATACGTTCGGGGTGGAATGCCGCTGTTCATTAGATTCTTTAATCTTTGAATTGCTTGGTCGTCCTGATCGTAAAACTCTCTATCTCTGCACAGATAATCCCGTTCAAGTGTTGAAACCTCCAACGCGCGGTAGCGGAATCTTGATTGACGCTCTTAGGAAACGAGGAAACCAAGTCTGGGGCGAGTTGCTTGAACAGAGAATTCACCGCTGCTACGACAGGATAATCAAGGTCGACTTAACCTTCGCATGCCCCGGCTATATATATATATTTTGTTTATGGTCTTGAGCGGCTTTCTTAACGCATCTCTTCTGTTTTGCAGATCGTTTCGATATCGTGTTCTCTCCCCATCGCCCTTACACATTCAAACCGATCAAGGACATGTAACCTTGTCGAAGGATGAAGAAGATTGGCAGGGCTGCTTTTAAGGAAATCAACTATTTGAAAGAGAGGAAGAATGTGTCGGCTGAGATTGTTGGGGCCGAGGGGTCGGCTCGTACTCATCCTGCTCCCACCGTGTCGAAAAACCAGAAGCCTTCTGCTGCGGAAACGGCATTGGGCAAACACTCTTCTGGGTCGGCTACGATGGTCGGGGTTACTAAAGAACGCGACCCGGCGGCTTTGGTTTCTTCAGCGACGGATCCTTCTTGAAAAAGGGGAAGGTCGTCAAAGAGTCGTTCGGCTGAGAAAATGACTAAGAAGAAACCTCGCGGTGACGACCTTCAACTGATCACTGTCGTAGGATCTGGGACGGCCGTTGGGAATGTTGAGCCGCAGGAGGATGAGCCTGGTACTAGGGCCTATGACTTCGGTTACTCCTTTAAAGGTACAGGGAAACATATCATGGAGGAGCAGAGAGCTTGTGCCGACTTCTTTTCTCTTGTCCAGCCGAACGACCGCTTTAAGCTCCCTGACATAGATCATATGGTAGAAAAAAAGGCCTATGTTGATTGGGCCAGCTCTTTTATGCAGGTCAGTTTCTCATCATTCACCGTACTCTCTTATTCGTCTGTAGTCGTTCTTTTTTTTTCGAAATGACCATGATCTTTTCCTCGTCATTCACAGGCGGTGTGCTCCACCAATCACCTTGTGACACTCTACGAGAGAAAGTAGGGACGGGCACTTGACAGGTTTCTCAAGCTGCAAGGCCAGATTGAGTCGTTAAAGGGCTCGTTGGATGAGCTAGCGGCTAAGGTGGAACAAGCCCGGCTGAGGAATCGAGAATTCGGAGAAGAGGTCGTCGCTGCTTAGTCAGAAAAGTCTTCATTAGAGACACGGGCCGATAACGAGATAAAGCAACTCAAAGAGTCTGTGGCCCTTGAGGTAGGCAAGGCAGTCACCGCTGAGAAGGAGATAGCAGCACTGCCTCGATCTGGAGGAGATCAACCGTCTTTCCTCGTTGGCCAATCAATCGGGAGAAATAAAGGCCTATCTTGAGGAATTCAAAGGGATCGGCGGCATGATCTCGATGGCGAGGTTGCAGCGTCTTGAGGAGGACAAGGAGAAGTACCTCAAGGAGCTCGACGCCCTTGAGGTAGTCGTGATTTTGGACGCCGACTTCGAAGTAACTCCGCCACGAGATTTTGCTCCTTCCGATAGGGTGATGGCTGAGGCAGCGGCGGTTCTTTATCAGCACGGCACCTTTGTGCCTCAGGACACTGATGCCGTGGATATCACTTCTAAAGCCGAGGATGAATCCGGGGACTTTTCTGCAAAAGACCCGGCTACTGGAGAAGAACTGGCTCCCCTTTCTAGAAACCCCGTGACGTAGAGTGCTTTTTACTCAGCCATGATTGCGCTCCATAATCTATCATTTCTTTCTGTTTGTGTTTTTTTTTGAACTCTCGGTCGGGCCGTCTGTGGCCTCACTATTTTATCATGTAATTCTCCAGACTCAACTTTTTTCCTCCGGCCCAAGGGGGTGGGTGGTTTATTTATTGCGCCTCTGAAAGGCGACCTTATTTAATATTATTTTCCTTTTTGTAGGCGCGTGAATATATATATTTTTAAACAATAGTAGACCGTCGTCCTATTAAGTTAGCAGAAACGGTTTGGCATACAAACTCAGGTATATCTAGATTGTCCTATCTGCGACCTCTAGGTCGGCTTTAGGTGAGTTTTGTAACGTGACTAAGTGTGCGACTTAGCTCGGCTTAGTCATCTAGACGCTCTAGAAACTCGGTGCGAGATTGAGCTCGACTTTAGTCAGCGATTCGGAGATCGGCTCTAGACGAAGTCTTTGAAGAAACTAAGTGTGCGAGGTGGTGATCGGCTTATTTCTTAGACATCTCTGGGACTTATGCGAGACTGATCTCGGTTTTTGGTAGGCGACCCTGAGGTCGGCTTAAGACGAAGTCTTTTAACGTGGCTAAATGCGTGAGGGTTGATCGGCTTATTTTCTGAGACGTTCTGAGACTGTGCGAGACTGATCTCGGCTTTTGATCCATGACTTTGAGGTCGCTAAAGGATAAGTTCTTTAACATGACTAAGTGTGTGAGGGTTACTCGGCTTATCTGCTTAGACGCTAGCATAGTTGTATATATGTGCAAAAGTAATATGAAAAATACTTATAA